ATGGTTTATTAACTTTATTTTAAAGTTAATAAAGTGGTCCCTGCTATCGGTCAGCAGTGGGCCCATTATGGTTTATTAATTTTATTTCAAAGTTAATAAAGTTTCTTTTGGGGACCACATCCTTCATTGCAAACCTTTCTCTTCCCAGATTGGAACCATCCTCCTCTTTGGGATCTTCCAGTGCCGTCTCCGAGTCCCATTTCGCAGTCCCATTTCACGGTCCTATTTTCGCAGTCCCATTTCACAGTCCTATCCAAGTGTTCCGGTGAAGAAGCCTTTCATTGCTGCAAGTCACAAAGGGACAGACGGACAACCAGGTTTATTAACTCCCCCCCAACTCCCCCCCCTTTCTCTTTCCTATTAGCCCTATTTCTGACCCTTCTTCTTTTTTTTTTTTTCTTTTTTTTTTCCTTTTTTTTTTAATGCTCAGGGCGGTGCTAGAGGCGACCCTACAATGGCCAAAACAAAGTTGTTCATCGGTCAAATTAAACCACCAGTACCTTTCCCACATATCAGCCGCCGCGGGGAGAAGAAAAAGCCCGCAATGGAAAACGAGCTGCCAACGAAATTTATCAATGGCGGCCCGATACCGCTTGGCTTCCACGTAACCCAGCGCAGAATTGATTTTTGACCGGGGAAAAGTCCCAGTGGTTTAAACTACCAGTACACCCAAAAAAGAAGATTGAGCCTCTCCTAAACATTCAGAGGCCATGGATCATGGATCAAATGAATCGACGGTTCACGGCCTCCTATTTTTTAGCAGACGGCCAATCAGCTCTTTTTCTTGGGATGCACTCACTGGTTGTTTCAACCACAACCAGTGCATTTCTCAGCTACGAAGTTTCGTCTCCGCTCGAAACTTACTTTCGTCCCAACTCCTTCCTTGGTCTACCGGACCGAAACGGTTGGCATCGCCATGCAAAAGAAGTGGAGATTCCATGCCCGCACCCGGTCGTGTTCTTTCTGGTTCACAACGACAGGAAAAATCAGCGCCTCGTGTCGACCTCGGCATAGTTTGTTCATTAAAATTTCGAAGCACCTTCGCTTTCTAGAGTAGAGTAAATGCCCAGGGGAGGCAATTTGTTCTTTCAAGAGCAACTACCTTCTTTCCCCGAATACAGCGTACGGTCATTATTGCTGTATTTAGACTGAAAGATACCTCAAATACACCTATAATGACCGTACGTTGTTTTCGGGTGAAGACAGTAGTAGGTGTTATGTCTGAGGAAATGTGGCAGTGCAAATGCACCCTTCCATCCTCCCAGGAACGCACCCTCAGTTTGTCTGTATCTGACGGAAAATTCAGCTTGTATACATTCATTATCAGAGTGTGTTACGTTCAGGACAAGCCCGTAGCCATATGTGGCAGTGCACTGTCAATGTACCTTTTCATATAGGGCGAGGACCCACTGCCAGCAGGACTGAAAACCTGCCCCAGTCTATTGGGGTCTTCTGAGGGGTTCATCCGGAGAACCGAAGGGCTGATTGCCGAGACGAGACACAGAGCAAATTGAGCATGAGAGGCCGGTATGGTGGGGTCTTCCAAGGGGTTCATCCGGAGAACCCAAGGGCTGATTACCGTGCGTGACTGTCATATGTCCACTAGCCAACCTCTACAACAACCTGGGCTTTCCAGAAAAAAAAAAAAAAAAAAAAAAACCTGGGTCAGTCTGACGCCACCCCGAGGGTACACTGGGATGATTAATTAGCATGGCCCCCACTCACTGCTCCTCTCGAGGATGTGATGTGTGTTGGGTAGAATGGCAGTAGTACCACCAGTACTACTACGGCTTCTACGGCCATTATGCCTGTATTTGGAACCACTTTCAGACTAGATACAGCGATAATTACCGTCCATTCTATTAAGGTGAGAATGGTAATATCCTCTTCCTGCCTCACTCTGGTTGCAGTTGTTCGCCATCACCACGCACAAAACTGGAAGGATCTACCTTCCCCCCCCCCCCTGGAAGAGGGCATCTTCACCATAGCTGCATCTGGCCTGAAAATTGATCAGATACAGCCGCAGGGCCCAGGCGTTCCATTCAGGAAAAGAAAGGAATAGAGCTTTAGAAAACAGATTTGAAAAAAAAAAAAAAAAAAAAACACTCTTATAATTCTTATTCTAGGCTGTTTTGCTGGGCGTCTGGTCTGTGGTTGGCATGAACCCCAGTTAGGGTTCCGGCAAGCCCCAGTCAACCCCCCACCC